ATTTCTTATATTTACTAGCAATAGGCCTAGGTTACTTATAAGATTACTATAGCTAGTAAAGGCATTACTAAAGAATATCTATACTATAGTAGGATACTATTATTACGCCGGCTATTTATTAAAAGGAGGCTTTCGCCTATTACTATACCGGCTACATATACCGGCTATATTTCAAAGTCTGCCGTACCTGCCTTTTTTAGCCGTACCTGCCTTTTTTAGCCGTACCTGCCTTTTTTAGCCGTGCCTGCCTTCTTTCCTTGCTCTAACGTTACTATAATGTAGGCTTACGCGAAGCTTACTCTGTTGCCTAGCGACACCGCGACACTACCGCTATATTTAACCTTCGTATCGATACCTATACCTCTACGCTCTATATCTACTACCTCCGTAATACCCTCGCTCCGCGCGCGCCTTCGTATACCTTCGTAACGCACTTTTTTCCTCAATTCGACGACTTTTATAATAGCGAGTCTACTTAACTAAGTTACGACGCCTCGTAAGAAGGGACCTGCTACTTCTACGGGTCGTAATAAGATCGGAAATAGTAGAACGAGTATAATATATTAACGTAAGATAGCTGCTACTACTGCCGCTAGCTCCGGTACTAGAAAGGGCGTCGCGAGTAAGGCTCCGCGTAAGACAATAGCGGGCAAGGCTCCGCGTAAGACAACGGCGGGTAAGGCTCTACGTAAGACGACAACTAGCGCTTCTACTGCTAGTAGCAATCGTACGAAGCGTCGATAGCGCCTAGGAAGTAAGTCCTATTTATAGCTAGTAGCGTAGCCGGTAGCGTAGCCGGCAGCGTAGCCGGCATTCTTACTGTCTTTTTACTAATCCTTCTTTAGCCGTAGCCCTCCGTAAGATTCGGTAGTATTAGAAGAGTTCTTAGCTCCTAATCCGCAAAACTCCTTTCTAACGACTTATTCGCGAAATTGCCTAGGATTATAGAACGGACCTTCGCTTCTAAGCCTCCGCGATAGGCGCCCTTTAAGAGGCTATAGAAGCCTACCTAGTTCGTATCTTCGAATGTATGTTTCTCTTCTACCTCTTTTCGGACTATACTAATACTATTTTAGCGGTTAACCTTATAGCTATCTACGCGAAGCGTATAACGATTATAGATAAGGATTTCAAAGCACTCGATCAGATTCTAAAAGGCTAGAATGTCTATATTCGAGACGGTACTAGGTAGGATAGATGTTCTAGTAGAAAGGATATTCGTAGTGTTATCTGTAAGCTTTTCTATATACGAAATAAGCCGCTATTATACGGCGCTGTATACCGCGCTCTAAATACTCTCTAAGTATATATACATAGTATAGTATGCTTTATTAGCCGTACGGAATAGAAGTCTCCTAAAATCCCGTTAGTACTAAGGAGTAAAAAGGCCGGCTACGCTGCCGGCTACGCTGCCGGCTACGCTACTAGCTACGCTGCTAGGTTTTTTAAAGAACTAAAAGAAGATAGACATTCCGGTTAATTTGTATTAGTTTAGATTTTTATAAAAAGAAAACAGGGAAAAATAAGGAAGGTTGAAGAGCCTAATAGTTATAGTTATAGGCACTATCCCTGTTTTCTAGAGCATATTATATACCTGCCTTCGCAACTCTACCTAATACTCCCTCTAAATATCCTTATACTCTACCTACTAAAAATTCAACTAGGTACCTAGACCTATAGCTGCCTCTATATCTTTTACTATCTTCTATAGGTTGAAGGCCTCTTCTATAGCAGCCTCTACCTCCTTATACAATACGAAGTTACTACCTGCCCCACCCTTTATATCTCCTAAATAACTAAGAGTTCTAAGGAACGAACTAGCATTCGGCCTTAGTATAGCGAGTAACTAGTAGAACGTTCTATAGAGCTGCCTTATAGCTCTTTTATATACTATACCGATACCGAGGGAGGAGCTATCCTAGTACTTAATATTGTCGAATGGTTCGGTAGGAAAGTATATAAACTTCTTAAGGAGGAGGACTTCTAGGGAAATCGATAAGTTCTGCCTAGATCTAGATAAAGACATTCTACTAAGCAGTTAGGGAATTGAACCGTAAACGAAAGGATGAAATTCATACCTAAGGAGTGCAGTTTCCGAACTGAACTATAATGCCTTATATATATATATATATATATACTTTTAATTAGTTAGTGCCCTTAGCTAATTGTCTATAGATTTGAGGTTATATAAGTACCTTTATACAACTATATAGCCTAAGTAGGATTCGAAAATTCTATAAGTACTAAGGACTAAAAATGCCGGCTACGCTGCCGGCTACACTGCTAAGTCTTACAAAGGGCTTGCTTAAAGCTACGTATACATTCGTACACTTCTTAAAAACCGATAAATTATATAGTTCGAACTAGCTACTTATATAGTTGCTTAGCAAACCAACCTAAACTAAACCAGAGTTTCGGCTTAGCAAACTAAACCAAACCAACCCGAACTACTGCGGGGTCTATAGCTACCGTTAGCGCTCTTTACTTGTCTAAACTCTCCCCGTTCCTTACGGATACGAGTTAATACATCTTGCTATAGATACTAGTTATATACGATATTCTTAGCTTCTAGTATAACCTCCTTAATAGCGTAGATTAGTAACTCTTCGCGATTAGTACTAATAACTAGGGGCATTAGACAACCGGCTTATTCGAGGCCCTTCCGTAGTAAGCGTAACAACTCTACAAAGTCCGGTTTATCTAGCTTCGGACGGATAAGGCTAACACTAAGCTTAATAGTATTATTTATCGGTCTAGTAGCGATAATATCTAGAAGCTCGAGGTTATAGATATTAGTTAAATACGTCGTATTAACAATAAGGGTATATAGCGTGTTCTTAAAGGCCTCGAGGGACTTAGGGTAGAGCGCAACTATACTTCGAATAGTACCGTTCTCGGGGTTCTCGTAAATATCGTAGAATATACTATTCTCGTCTAATAACTTAACTATCCGCTAAGCCTAGTTTATCTATTGTCGAGCGTCTATATTACGAGCCTATACGACATTCCGTACGTCCTTCGGCTTAAGAATAATACTACGGCCGCGGAAGTAGGCTATAATCTTCGAGGTTAGTATACGAGACTACTATAAGCGCTCTAGTTGTTTAAGGAACTCCGCGGATCTCGAGCGGCGCCTATATATAGTAAGAGCGACGATATCGTCCTTCTTATAGTTATAGAAGCAGTAATCTTCTTTAGTAGAATGCCGGATAACCTATTAACCTTTAGGCTAGCTCGGGTCGACAGTAATAGCGTAGAAGTAGAATTTATAATCTATCTTCTTCGAGGTTAACTTCCGCTTTATTACTTCCTTCTAGGTACGCTTGTCTAGTAAGCCGAAGTAACTATATACCTAGCGGTAGCGATATTTAATACTATTCTTGTTCTTCTACGGCTTATACTACTTAAACTCGTATCTAGTCGCCTTTCTAAAGGTATAGACGTACGACTCGAGGGCTCGATAAGACGGAAACTACGACTCGCGCGGCATTAGACTACGAGAGCGCTCCTTTAGTAAGAACGGGTACTTCTAAGGGCGTAGTAATACTAATCGATAGTTAGGAAGCGATATACGTTCTCGAGGCACGTTTAGTAAGCGACTGCGACCTCGAATACGTATTTCCTACGACTTAATAACTACCGCCGAGAGCGCGCCTTCTACCGCTATTTCTACCGCTATTTCTACCTCTTCCTACGACTTAATAACTACCGCCGAGAGCGCGCCTTCTACCGCTATTTCTACCGCTATTTCCACCTCTTCCTACGACTTAATAACTACCGCTAAGAGCGCGCCTTCTATCGCTATTTCTACCTCTTCCTACGACTTAACTACTACTACTACCGCTACGCTATTACTACCGCCGGCGATAACTTTATCGAGAAACTCGTCGTAGGATAGAGATTTAGCTATTTTCGGTAGTTACTAGGCAATCTACTACAAAAGGGGGAAGAAATGCGAACTTTAGGTCTATAGTAGAATTCGAGGCGCGACTTCCTAGGTAATACGCTACGCGCCTATTAACAATACTAACTAGGAATGGAAACAGCCTATATTAGGCGGAAAGAGCACGTAATTTGATACAGAGGCGATTCTACAATAGTGCTAGCACCGGGATATGCTGGGGCTCGGGCGGGTAGCTGGGGCTCGGTTTAGTCTCGAGGCTCAAGCCAACCTCGCCACAGCAGAGCAGCGCGCGTCGACTGGCCCCCGGGCAGGAAGCTGATGATATCCTCCCAACACCCAATACCGCCGGGCCGCCGCGGAGCGCATCGTGCATCCACATTCCAGAAGAGTCGAACGCCAGGGGTCGGCGCAGCGGTTGGGGAAGAGACGATTTCACGATATATTATTGTCTGCTGGCACTGCTGCTGATACAATCCGTTGAAGAGACCCGGGCGGTGGTCGCTCTCTGCTCACGTAAGAAAGCCATGTCGCCGTCTCGGGTGTCGACATGCCCACGTGGAAATGGCCCTTGAAGAGCTGCGCTCGGCTGGTGATTGGCAGAAGTTGATGTGCGTGCCTTGCAACCAAACGACTTCACCGAGCAACTGCGTTGTCAGCAAAGCCTTTTCGCCGAACATAGCGCTGTCCCACTCCCTGGCCTGGACCGTTGATGTCTCGATCATTCGATGTGGACACGCGCCTTACCTGATCTGGTCCTTAGAAATCCCAGCAAATCTCGGAGGTCGGATCCGGCGGCTCCCTCACCCTTGACGACAATAGTGACCATAGCACAGCAGCAGCGCAGACTGTTGTCTAGCATCTTACGTCCTTGTTTGTCAGTCAGACCACTCCTGTTCAAGCTTCTAATGTACATAATACCGACCTGAATCCATCCTCTTCGCCCAGCAACTCACCTTCATCCGCCCCAAACAGATCGATCGATAGCATTGACCAGGCGTGTCCTACATCTGACGTGGACATCAACTAATAAAGTAATCATCCACTCGACTCGCAACAAAGCCCACGCACACACTTTGCAATAAATCAGCAGCCCACGATGTCCGAAACTCGAAATATTGTAGTGGTAGGAGCCTCATTTGGTGGCCTTGGAGTCGCCCACTACATCTGCAAGCATATTTTACCGAAGCTTCGCCAATCCCAGGATGCGAAATATGTGCTACATCTCATCGATCCATCAACACATTTCTGGTATCAGCGTCTAAGCCAAATCTTCCTTATGTGACAAGCACTAACATTTCTTCCTAGGTGGCACATTGCAGCGCCTCGACAGATTGTCTCAGTCAAAGAGTTGACGATTGAGAAGAGCTTCGTGCCTATCAAGGACTGCTTCAAACAATATCCAACCCTTCAGGACTCGATCGTCTTCACACAAGCATCTGCAACTGCTCTCAACACACAGGACCGCAAATTGACCATCACCAAAGCCGATGGCAGCTCGGAGACTCTGGACTACTATGCACTCGTGATAGCAACTGGGGTGAAGACACCGACACCACTTACAGGCTTCCATGGCAACTACACTGTTTCCGAGCAAGCCCTGAAGGACATGAACGCCAAGCTCGCCTCCGCGAAGGAAATTGTGATTTCTGGAGGCGGCCCGGTCGGCGTAGAAACAGCTGGTGAGATTGCCACGCAGTATGGCAGCAAGGCCAAGATCACCCTCATTGCCGGCGGTGACAAACTCCTTCCCGTCTTGAACAAGTCCCGCGCTGAAAAGGCGCAGAGGCTGCTGGAGAAGATTGGAGTCAAGGTCGTCTACGGCGTGAAGGCTACTGGAAAGAATGACACTGCTGATGGCAAGACTGAGGTCCTTCTGGACAATGGCAAATCCATGACAGCGGATGTCTACATTCCCGCTTACGGAGTGACGCCGAATACTGACTGGCTGCCCGAGGAACTGAGAGGCCCCAAGGGCTATGTGGCCACGAATGCTGCCACGCTGAGAGTCGACAAAGCTGGAGCGCGAGTCTATGCGGCGGGTGATGTGGCTGGAGTTGATAAAGGAGGCGTGATGGCAATGAATGCTACCATTCCGATCCTTGGCTCTAACATGGCCCATGATCTGCTCGAAGATGCCAAGGCCGGAACTTCGCCAGAGAAGAAATATGCCTTCAAAGAGGCGGAGACTCAGGTTGTGCCGGTGAGTACGATAGCATGTTCAAATGAGAACGACGACTAACAATACACAGGTGGGACCAAAGACTGGCGTTGCAGCCTTCAATGGTTGGGGCATGCCAGCTTTCGCTGTCCGCCTCATTAAAGGAAAGGACTACATGTTAGGTTTCATGAATGGCTTCACTGAAGGAAAGAGGTTCTAGGTCTGCGCAACCAGTTGAACCTGCGAGATGAGGCGGGCTTTGCATTCTACGACATTATTGATACCCCCGATCATTCATAGCTATACCCAAGAATTCTAATCGACCCATTGCACACTACTCCATATAATACTACTCCATATAATCATAAAGTATCTCACCATATCACTAATCATAAATCGTATCATAATCATAACACAACTTCCCTCCTCTCACATCCATCACATCCCTAATCGTCACCGGACCAGCCACATATCCCATCGTCATCTGAAACTCCAGCGTGATATTCCCACCCTGAGTATTATTCCAATCATCCCTATACACCGGCCCCGAAATATCTAACAACCTGTTCTCCAAATCTCGTTTCTGCCACGACCACCAAACACGATCCAGATTCGCATGATGGAGATAGAATAAAGGGTCTGCAGGACTCACATACGGATCCCTCATAACACCTCCTACACCCGAATGTCCTCCTCCATGAATCCCCGAATGGATCTGAGGAGGTCCAAGCTCCGCATCATAAGTGAAGTCGCCGAACGTGCACTTCTCAAGTGTGATTTTCGTTCGATTCATGCCTATATATCGTCTCGCCCAGTAAGGACTCAGGTCTCGGTTGAGGCAGCGCGGGTTTCCGGAGAGATCGCTGGTGGGTCCGAGAGTTACGATCGTGTCTTTGAAGGGCCCGTCTTGGATGCAGCCTCCTCCTGTGCGGCCTGGAATTTCGAATGTTTCTTTGGATTTGTTGGAGGATGGGACGAAGACTCCGTTGCCGCCGAAGCCGTCGATTGGGTCGAAGACGGGACTTTGGAGGAAGTCGTCGTCGCTTGCTACGTCTAATGTCCAGTCCCAGAATGGAACAGCGCCTAGATTGTGTCAGCGAATATTTAGACGTGATAGATATGGTTAGCGCTACCAGCATAGTTGCATTCTTCTCTCAGAGCTTTCTCGTATACGCTCAGGTAGTATCGATGCCAGGGTAGGAGATGTCCGACTTTATGTGATGTATTTGTTTGAAGAATATGGGCAGTCGTAAAGTCATCGTAGCGGGTTACAGCTGCTGGTGCAAGCCAGTCCGGTGTAACCTCTTTGGGCTTCCCTTGTAGGCATTTGATGGCACCGATATAATCTTGTTTCTGTGTCGAGGTGAGGTTTCGCCATTCTTTGCGAATGAGTGTTTCTGAACATGATCCTTGGTCGTGACGGATTGGCGTTGCAGACGTAAAAGAAAGAAGTCCAATGACAATCAGTGACACGGGAAGCTTGGGCATCTTGTTTCTAAATCTCGAGAAAAAGTAAATTGATGTGCATTGTTTGAGCTAGACTGTGCTGTCTTTATATCTGCAAACAACTGGTTGCATTGCGATGTAGCTCTTGCCAAGAATTCGAGAGAATCATTGGAATGTCGCGCTGATCTTCCGGTCTGCATCGCATCCTACGTTGCAGATGGTCGCTGCAAGTCCTATAAACCCCTTGGCAAAATCGTCCTTTGTAGCATAGAGTGGACGCAGAAGCACAGCTCCAGTGTTGTACGGTCTGCAGCCTGTCGCGCGGCGTAAGCGGATCTACGTCGGAGGTATTTCTTTCGCGCGTCGTGCATCATTCAGCTGATCCTTTAATTAATTCAAATGGTCTTTCGTGCAGAGAATACTTCCGATGAGCTTGGGGATTTTGTATGCAATGCTTGGTGGAGTGCTCGCTGACCATGCCAAGGCTATCGCAACCAAACGGGAGTCTTGTAGTTCAGTGCTTTATGACGATGGACGGGGCTGATGTCGGCTGAGCTATTTCTGCAAGACCTTGCAACCAAAGCTGGAGTTTGTCGATTTCCTGCCTTGCGTGCGTCCCTTTGGAGCTGAACAAGAAAGCTCTCGTGCCCCGATCCGATGCATAGTACTTTGCATAGCCGTCGCGATAGGCTGCTTGGCCGCAGTAATGCATCGGACTTTGAGGCATTTGCTTGAAGGGTTTGACTGCGGTCCCTCAGATTAAAGCGGGAAGGTCTCTATGTCCTGCAAAGCGACGTCCATCCACTTGTGCATCCTCAATCGATGTCCACGTACATTTCCTTGGCAACTTCGTCCAGTGGGATGAGACAGAACTCGTGATCCAATTCCAGCCTGCCTTCCACCAAGCTTTCTGCTAGTGCAATGTTCTCTTCAGGAAAACCTTCGTTACGCAGATTTTGATAATAGCTAGCAATAATGCTTTTGCCGAGGTTCTCATCAGCGATGGTCAGAGGCGATGCAGGGTTGGGGCGAAGGACCCAAATCAAAGTCAAAGGCGGCTGGCCATTCTCCAGACCAGGCTGACAATGGGCTGTCAAGATCCTGCAGTGTCCTTTTCGGCGTACCATAAGTGCTTGACTGCCACTCTTTGCGTGAATCGACACCCGTTCGGCGGCCGCAGCTTTTGTCTCCGCGTTTGAGCCGTGAACTGCGGGTTTTGTTTCGCACAAGGTGAATGGTACTTGTGGTGGAGCATCCGGATGATGTATGGCCGCCTCTGCCATCGCAACAGCCAGGGTAATGGTATGGAGAACTTCGCTGAGGTCTTTCCGACGAGACTGGGGACGCACATAGATATACTGAAGATATGGAATGGCATGTCGCCCTTGAAGGAAGACGGAGAATTGTGCCGCAGCAGCTGCTTGTCCAGACGGATCCCTTACTCCAATTACCCAATACGGAAAATCGTGGCGTCGCCGTTGTGAGTGTCTCTCGTTGAGGCGATTGATGATCAGATCGGGGTGCTCGCGTTCAGCTCCATGAAAGTTGGCCAGGTATAAGGGGGTGTAATGACTTTCGAATATCGGGCCAGTGACAGACTCGATGAGTCCGATTGCGGGCAGTGCGTTCTGCTTGAGTCGCTGGGTCGATAGGCGGGAAACGCAAGCGATGTCGATTCCTCTGAGATAGCCGATGAGTGCTCCATCGAACTTCGCTGTCAGCAGCTCACTTATGCTGTCCATAGCTCATTCGGTACCATGGTCGTTTTGACTTCGTTCGCGAAAACGTCGGGTGTGCTACCGTGGCAGTTTCGCGTTTGATCGCGGCGACCACTTCGCGACTGCGACTGCCGTGAGCAACATGTATGATGATGTTTGCTCGAGACCACGCGCCACATCATTATTGGCTTTGTGACCGCACAGGGCCGCGTGACAGTTGCTATAGAGATGTCGTCTGGTTGGTGGTCAGGACTTCCGAAGCAAGAACAGGCAAGCGTCGGCAGGCGCATTGGCCCCGCCGTCCCCTGGAAGGCACCCTGCATAAAATCCTCCTGGGCAAGGAGTAAACAACAACGCGGCCGCGACTACTGCAGCTGCTTCGTGAACGTGCATCACCTTCTGCCTTCGCCGCGTCAACAACACTCCTGGTGTCACTAAACCCGCAGTGTCCACATCCGAATCACTTTTTCGGCCTGGCAATCAATCAATTGACCCGCATCACTCGAACGGTGTGAGACAACGGCGCCATGTCCAACAAGTCGGGCTTGTACCTGAACTTCCTCCAGTCGCCCAGCACGGGTGTACTAGCGAGCGATGCATCGATCAACTACATCACCACGACTACGACGATCAGCGAGCCTACCGCCGTCCTCAAGCATCTAGGAGCTCAAGGCAAGCAAATCGAACAGAAGGAACAGAAAGTCATCTATACGATTGAAGGCGACAATGGCTGCTGTCTGGAGACCATCACAACCCTCCAGTTCCGCATGGGTGGTGGCGCGTACCTGCCAGGCATGGACTCGAACATGTTAGACGAGCGTGAAGTGACCTTCCCAATGACGCATGTGGTTACCTACAAGGGCGACAAGATCCAACAGATCCGTCTCTACTGGGACCAAGGCACGCTCTTGAAGCAAGTGGAGGCTATCGGCAAGACTGGACGCAACTGGCCAATCCGCGACGGTAAGGCTCAGATTGATTCCATCAATGCCAGCGTCAAGTCCGGCATTCAGGGTGGAGGAAGCGCTGGGAAGGAGCCATTAGGCGTGCGCAATCCCAATGAGGTTGTCATCAGAGATCACCACAAACGAGACAGCGTCTCTGTCACTCGCGATCCTCACGCCAGTCTGACCTTGTTCGCTGAGCGCGACGTCAACGAAGATGGACGCACCTACAACGGACCCAAGTATGAGCCAGTCAAGTCGGCCAAGCCAATCCCACGCGACCTTGGCGAGCTCTTCACGAGCGAAGACACCGCTCCAGACCCATCGCGCAGTCAATCACCGCACAAGATGGATGGCACTGTCTTGAAGGCAGGAGCAGGCCGAAACCACCAGAACAACCGACTCTTCGATGACCAGGACGACCAAGAGCCTCCACGTTCGCCTGAGCGTAAGAAGACGTACAGTCAGAAGTATGAGCACTTCGCATTCGGCAACGGCGAAGACGCTCCAAAAGAAAACCGTCCCTTGGGCAAGAACAAGTCAAGCCAGCACGATGCTACATTCAGCTTTGAGGATTTCCACACCCCGCCGAAGCACATCGAGAAGAACCGCCCGGATTATGAACGTCACTGGGGCGCTGGTGTTGATGAGGTAATTCTTTCCAATCTTGAAAGCAATTGAGATCTGTGACTAACCTTTTGCAGGACGATCCAGAGTCTCCTCCCAAGCGTCCTGTAGTCCACCATCCAAGGAAGGACGCAAAGCCTCACTGGGAGACTGCACACGATTCGTCCCCAGCTCCTTCCAAGGAGAAGTCTCTCCAGCGCCAGAAGGGACTTGGCCTGTACGGCGACCCTCTGCACAAGGACGAGCGCGTCAGACAGCCACCGAAGCCCAATGTCAACAATGCTCGCCGCGGAGATGATTTTGGACCTCACTACGAGATTTCGGACAAGTCTCCGGCCGGTGCAAAACCGGCTCAGAGCAAACGCGAGACTCGATCCGATATGGCAAGCAACTGGAGCTTCGAAAGCCCAGTTCAGGAAGAGAAGAAGATCTACAAGACAGCAGGTGATGGTATGGGTTCGCGCGCTGGACGCCGAGCTTGGGGAATTGGTGATGATTCGGATCCAGAAGTCGATGCTGATGTGAGACCCAGTGCTAGAAGTCGTCGCGCCCAACAAGAAACGGGAGCGGGAGCCGAGCTGGACTTCTGAAGAATCACTGAGCAAGGTACTGGATGAGCCGCCGCCCAGAGCAGCTTCTCCAACAAAGCGCGCCTGCCCGAATGCTTATTCCAAAGATGATGCGCGCAGTTCTCAGATCTAGGATGAGGAGAACCGACGACCTTCTGCTGGCGATGCTGAAACTGGTGCCAACGTCATCAGCATGACCGCAAGGTCATACCCGCTGCCAGAGCACGAGTTGGTCAATGACTCCTTACGATGTTGCACAAGCGTTTAGGATGGAGCGATTCCGCTAGGAAAGATTGATACCCTCAGGCGTGCTTGGCGGAATCGCAACTTGCGATGTGAGAGTTGGCGGTTTGTCAAACAAGGTTTAGCAATACATGCCAATACAATGCTGTTTAATCTTTAAGGCGGCCCGTTTTGGGTCTGGCCCCTCTCAGTACCTTTGCACGTCGCAGCAACCGTGGTGAACGTATCCACCGAGCCTATCTTGCGCGCCTGGGAACGCATCGCACGAACATCGCCAACTACATACATACATACGTGCTGCTCGACCTCGATTTGGAGCGATTGTTATCTCGCATCGACTTACTTGGAATCGTTAGACCTTCGGCTGGGATATGGATAAGCACTCTGATAACAAGGACACTATTTTGACTCTGTTAGGAATGGGTTTGTAGCAACGCATGGAACACCCTTCTGCCGATAGGTCGATAGATGGTAGGACTAACAAGTGCCTTTTGTCAGAATAGTGCGGCGTGTCTACTATAAGCCTGTACTGAGCCCTACGCGGCTCGTGTACTGTCTGGTTGCCCGTCGCTAAGCCTACGCGGTTATATACGTAGCTCATCACCTAGCCTAGATGCGTAGGAGATACCTTAAGATGGGAGGCGAGCCGCCAATTATCAACAGCACTTCCTTCTTCTGAACAACGCAGTCAACGTCACTCAAGCCTTGCTTTCATCCCAACGGCGCCACAAGCAGACATTATCACATTCTACTATAGACACAACCCCCACAACATCTTGCGCAACACGTGATTCCCTGGCGAATGTCACATTATACACAATGGCGACCATTTCCGAGAGGCGCAATGCTAGCGGACCGTCCATCACGACCCACCGAAAACGAAGTGTGGCAGAAGAGCCAGTAACGTCCGTTTTGAAAGGCGGTGACATCCCTATCAACGACTCCGGCCAAGAATGGACACCAGATGAAGAAGTCCTCGCGGCGCTTGGTTACAAGCCCGAATTCAAGCGCGAGTTTAGCTTATGGACGACCTTCTGCGTCTCTTTCGCCGTGCTGGGCCTACTACCGTCTTTCGCGTCAACACTTTACTATGGCATGGGCTACGCAGGCACAGCTGGTATGACTTGGGGTTGGCTGGTGGCAATGGTCGGGATTCAGAGTGTTGCCGCTTCGATGGCTGAGCTTTGTTCGAGCATGCCGACGTCCGGTAGGAACGAAATAACTTGAGGATACCCCAATGTCTGAGACATTTGCTGACCTTCGAGTTAGGAGGACTTTACTACGCTGCCGCCGTGCTAGCACCGCCAGGTTGGGGACCTCTCGCTGCTTGGATCACAGGCTGGAGCAATTGGGTTGGACAGGTTACTGGAGCACCTAGTGTTGACTATGGAACTGCGGCTATGATCCTCGCTGCAGCGAGTATTCAGAACCCCAACTACTCGCCGACCAACTATCAGACTTTCCTGTTGACGGTATTCTTGATGCTCATACACTCATGCATGGCAAGCGCATCAACCAAGTGGATCGCGAGGATCAATAGTGCTGGCTCGACTTTCAACATCATTGCCCTTCTGGTAGTCATTATCCTCATTCCAGCCGCAACCAATCGTGAAGACCAGGGCCTTCCCAAGTTCACGCCGAGCAGCGAGGTTTGGGGAGATATATACGCGGGGACCGACTATCCAGCCGGTGTCGCTGTTCTTATGAGTTTCACTGGAGTCATCTGGACAATGTCTGGGTACGACTCGCCTTTCCATCTGGCAGAGGAATGTTCAAATGCCAACATTGCTTCTCCGCGCGCCATCTTTTTGACTTCCGCTGTCGGTGGTACAGCAGGGTGGTTTCTGCAACTCGTGGTTGCATACACGGTTGTTAGCATTCCCGACGTGCTGGACTCCGACCTTGGACAGCCATTTGCAGCATACCTCATCCAGGTCTTGCCACAGAAAGCCGTGTTGGCTGTGCTCAGTCTCACCATCATTGCCGGATTTGCGATGGGACAAGGCTGCATGATTGCAGCTTCAAGAGTCACTTTCGCATATGCTCGAGACGACTGCTTCCCCTTCAGTAACATTTGGAAGAAGGTGAACAAGACAACCCGGACCCCAGTCAATGCGGTGTGGATAAATTGTGCTATCGGCTGCGCCTTGCTTTGTCTCATCTTTGGAGGCTCAATCGCAATTGGAGCGATCTTCTCGATTGGAGCTTGTGCCGCTTTCGTGGCATTCACAACACCGATCTTCATCCGTGTCTTCTTCGTGGGTAATCGTTTCAGGCGTGGTCCGTGGAATCTTGGTCGATTTTCGATTCCTATTGGAACGATTGCGTCAGGTTTCGTGGCGCTCATGGTTCCAATCCTATGCTTGCCATCCACTACTGGTAGCGACTTGACGCTGGACGGCATGAATTGGACTGCCGTCGTCTATGGAGGTACTATGGTAAGTTCCTACACAAGGATGATCTATAGTGCCCAGCGTCAACTAACATTTGACAGTTTCTTGTGATGATTTGGTGGGTTGTGTCGGCTAGGAAGTGGTTCAAAGGACCTAAGGTGAACTTAGAGCACCTAATGCATGCTGGTGATGACCAGATTGCTGGGAGTGCCGAAGTCATCGAAGGCAAGACTCCGAGTGAAAGGAGCGGTAGTGGTCATTCGCTTTCGCAAATCCCCGGTGAGATGCCTCCGGGAAAGCAAGTTGAGAATTGGAAAGCTACTGGCCTGTACGTCAGGAATGAGTGACCACACCATGGTCAACTGGATTTCGAAGCTCTTGCTCGACATACATGCGCCACGCCTTTATGCATGCAGACCACCCATTTATCCTACGCCGTTCATCTCCTCAATGCCCCTTCCCACCTCTCTCATCCTGGAAACCTATCGTCGTGGGCGCCTCAGGAAACTCCTTCTTCGCCTTCTCATGTGCACCGCCGCTCTTCTGTTGTGTCGCTACGCCGCCGGAATCATTTGCTCGGTTTCTGCAGCACAAAGTTATTATGGCCCAAATCTTTCCCCCAAGCCTCGGTACCAATACTCACTCTCTACCCTGCTTCGACTGATCGGTCTGCACATTCGGATCATAGCCCTTGTCTAAGACATGCTTCTTGCTCTTGTGATGATCACCCACATCGTGCTTCTTATCGGGGTTCGAAGCTGGTCTCAACGCGACCATCGATTGACTGAAAGGTCTAGTCTGAACTGATCTTGAAGCAATGCGATGGGCGGCGCGTATTGTTCGGTAGAAGGTGAGGAATTCGGAAGGGGATGATTGTGCCATTGTTGCTGTGCTGTTGTTGTTGCGGGAGATGAAGTCACGCTCGCTGACAGGTAGGAGAAGTAGTACTACCACTGATGATGACCTACTGCCCCGGCACGTCTAGGGCACGGGTCTGTTATAGTCCCAACTTTCGATTACCTTATTAGCATGTGAATGATTTCGATGAAAGCATCATCGTCGTGACCTCCACCATCGTCACTTTGCAGCCAGCACGCATTGAGTTTAGCCTTCTTTCCCCGCCATTCTTCACGTGCTGTCCTCCTGCTACTAAATTTCCTGATTCAATTTACGCTCTAGACACGACACAATACTTCGCAAATCGCGAGCACTATGGCGGTGACAGCTCATGATTCGAAGTTTCCTTGCTCACTGTACGACCTTCCACCGTAGACCGAGCTGGAACCGCAGCTGAACCATCGAATAGGACGGTCTACATTCCTTTCCCGAGCAATCGCCTGGCCAAAGCAGCTTTGCGCACGCTCTGTGTCGACCCAGAGCTGTCCTCTTTGGTCGAAAGGTCTTTCAGTCTGGTGACAGCTGTTCCAGATAGCCAAAGCACTGTGCAACATGATCCGTTCAAGGCCTCACTTCTAGTCAATGCTGCGCCAACGGAGCCTATTCACGCTACTACGACGATAGAATCTACGAAGGAGTCATCCGATGGACATCTTGATGATCCTGCCGCGAATATACTGAAGACTGAATACAAGGCTACGACGAATCGCATGCTCAGAGTCTCAGTCAATGGCTTCTTTGAGTCATTGGGCACTGTCATCCAGGTCATGGAAGAGCTTGATATCGATGTGGTTCATGAGAAGGGCCTTGACAGCCTCGAAGGCGCACAAGGCGTTGAGCAGGGCATGACTGGTAGCACAGGATGGGCTATCTCGGCCTTGGGCCCTGAAGGTGGAATGTGATGCCATTGTGCACCGGAAGGAGCGCACTTAAACATCGTGCATGGCCCGTAAAAAGTGCTACTGGGATAAGAGGGATCACCGCTGCACATTTGTCGCCCATTACTTGCGTTATAAATGTCTTGCGGTCTGCAAAAAATCGTCACAACGTGGCTTGCAGGAATCGCGTGAGCTGCAGCAATTGGAGCACCAGCATAAGAGACACTGAGGACGATAAAAGAGGTCCAAAGGGAGCGGTAGGCGAGGTGACTAGAGTCAGTGTGCTTCTGCTGTGGAAATAAGTATGCGGTGAGCATAACTAAGCTAAGCTCTCGGTGCGGACGAGCAAAGAGAAGCACAGCTACGTCAGAGCTCCGACGAAGCAGTGCTATGCGAGTTCCGCCGACCAAACACCTACCTATATTGCAGCTCAGACCTCATCAAGAGGGTGCATCGGGAGATATACGACCTTGAGCACACAACAATGTGAACATGTGAACAAAATGACGCCCGGCAGAGAAAGATCCCCCGGCCAGAGTCACGGCCCGAGTGACAAGCCACTAGGCTCTCTCTTGCTCAGGTACGGAGTAGGTTGCAATTCAATCATGTTTTCGTCTCCTTGCATACCTGTCGAGCAAGTTTTATCGTCAAGATGTACGTGCTTTGCATCACTGCTGCGCTTACTTCTGCGTTCGTATCTGCACAGCCGACATTCGACCCTCGTGAAGCGACCATCTCGTCAACTCATCACAATCTATACACTGGTCTGACGACATGCCAAGAAGTGGTATCTTCCTTCCTGTCACGTATCGAGGCATTGAATATTCGAACAAATGCGATTCTCGCTCTGAATTCACAGGCCCTGGCAATCGCTCGAGAATATGACTCTAAGCTACAAGCGAGCAATGGCACCTATGGCCCTCTTTTCTGCATACCAATCCTGCTCAAGGACAACTTCGACACCTCTGATATGGTAACAACGGGCGGTAGTATAAGCTTGGCTCATTCTCAGCCTAATGTCGACGCACCCTCTGTCGCTGCTCTCAAGAAGGCTGGAGCAATCATCCTGGGCAAAGCGAACTTGCATGAATTGGCACTTGAAGGAATCAGTGTCTCTTCTCTTGGAGGCCAAACGATCAACCCTTACGATTTCAGCCGACGACAATGTGCCCACTGTTACGCCAGAAGCTGGGAATGTGCCGAATGCGTATCGTGTTGGAGTGCTTTGAGTCTGTGAAGAAGGCTGCAGTGATGCTGTATGAGCCTCAGGTTGTTCTTGGTTCTTGCTACAGCTGTCTCCTCTCCCACATGCTGATCCGTGATGTGATCAGTCACTTTTCGGGTGTAAGTTATCAGTAATGTGAAGCGCGGAAGACCAGGAGTCCTAGTCAAGGCGCAGTGTTTCAGATGCGACTTTCCAGGCCTCTGGACCAGTCGTTTGGTTCGGCAGTTTGTCTCCGCGAACCGCAACGCGCCAGAACGCGGCCCGGTAGCCCATGGCGTCGCTTTAAGGTTTGGGGCCTCAGCTCGACCCTCGGACGTTGACATTCAATCGCCTGCCTGCTTCGAGTCACTCTTCGCCTTGCACCTCTCACTCTCCCTTTCCGGTATCACTCGTCTTCTGGACGATAGCCAACTCGCTGTATCGGCCTTCCGCGAGTCCTTCCATCACTTTCAGCAAGCCAATGTCTGCCTAGCCGCCGTTGCCTGGCCAATGTAGTCTGTATTCCTCCGACCGTCACCAGCACCAATCCATACGCAACACGACGAAGCTCGATACGACCGCACGCGGCGATATTCCTGAATGAAAACACGCCACATCACTACCGCTGAACCACTGCGAACTTCGCCAGCACTCGCCATTTTCACTCCGCTTGGCTGCAACGAAATCGACTCCTCGACATAGATGTTTCCGCCTTAGAAACGCGCTGTACGACGCCTTAGCAACCCGGCATTGGCCGGGGCGGCGGGGAGGGGCTGGGCATATAAAGGGCTGGTGTCTGCCGTCTTGCACGAAAGAGCGACTTGCTTCTCGAACTTTTCCCTGTGCCTCGCAAAACCTGGCTGCGAGGCGCCTGTTGCCTGACAACGCCTTTGAGCTGTCCTTTCGCTTCCACGCAGGCTTCGAACCCGGCACGCAAGATGGCGATTGAGACAACGGATAGCATGGTGGACGAGTATGTCTTGACGCAGTGCACGCAGCCGTCAGTCGACCCGAGGCGAATGGGTAGAAACAACTCCGGTCTTTCTGCCAGTGACGTCGCCGATGTTATCTGCATCCTCCATCCTGCCTCCCCTGCAGCCTTCCGTCTTGTCTCGGATACAGCTGCTCGTGCCCCTCAGCACATCTTGCAGAACTCGAGTCTTCGTCGACCAGACCGAAACGGTGCCGCCCTCGACGATGAAGAAACATTCATCCTCAACGAAAATGCTGGGGAGCAGGCAATGGATCTGGCTCTGAGATTCTCGACGCGCACGCATCAGCCTCACCTTGGATTCGTCATTGGTCGTAACAGCGAAGCATGCGACATTGTCGTCCGAGCAGATTCTCACAAGCGGGTCAGCAATTTCCACTTCTGCATCTTCTTCAACGAAACCGGCATTCTCATGCTTAGGGACATGAGCACAAACGGAACAATGGTAGATGATGTTCTGCTCAAATGCAGGACAACGCACCATCCTCACTCCCGAATACTCAGTCCTGGTTCCGTGGTCCAGATACTTTCTCCGTCGAAGGATGAAGTGCTGAAATTTATCGTGCGCTTTCCATCCCGCGATGGATATTACCAGGAGTACGACAAGATGTTTCAAGATTACATGAGTCGACAATTTGCCGCTCTTGAGCGGCGGCAACGAGATGGCCGCAACGACGATCCACATCTTCCCACATCTGCTCAACGCCGGCACACTGCGGTGAAAGCGCCCGTTCCACACAATCAATTTGGAATGCACTGGAACGGCGGCGAGGTGTACAATGTGGTTGGCCACATTGGAAAAGGCGCATTTGCCAGTGTCTATCAACTGGCCACAAAGATCGATGGGCAGCTATACGCTGCGAAAGAGCTGGAGAAGAGGAGGTTTATGAAGAACGGCGTCTTGGACCGGAAGCTTGAAAATGAAATGCGGATAATGCAGTCGATCGACCATCCCAGTATTGTCGCATACCACGACTACCAGGACGTCTCCAACCATCTGTACATTATCATGGAGTTCGTGCCGTGTGGAGATCTTCAGCAATACCTGACCGAGTATGGACCTCTTCCCGAATCGATCGCAAAGCAGATGGCTTCTCAGGTCTTCGATGCGCTAGATTATCTTCACAAGAAGAATATCACCCACCGTGATATCAAACCTGACAATATTCTGCTCTCTTCAATCGACCCAAAGAACTTCCTAATCAAGCTGTCCGATTTTGGTCTATCCAAAGCAGTACAGAATAACGATACATTCTTGAAGACTTTCTGCGGCACACTGCTCTACTGTGCACCCGAAGTCTTCCCTCACTACGACACACATTCTGCAAATAAAGGTATCAAGCGCTCTCGCAAGCCACAAGGCACCAAGACGTTCCGAAGCTACAGCCATGCTGTGGACATCTGGTCTTTTGGTGCTGTACTATGGTATTCTCTGTGTCACAGACCTCCTTTCGAAGGCGTGGCTGATAACACCGGCCGCGGTATGTTCGATAAGATTATGATGACACCTCTGGATGCTGCCGATCTCGCGAGGCAAGGGGTTTCTGAGGCAGCTGTTGCCTTGTTGGTAGCCATGCTTAATACAGACCCAATGGCCCGACCTTCTGCAGAAGAGTGTCTGCGTCTTCCATGGTTTGGCTCGCGTAAGCCTCCGACATATCGACGGCCGCAGCGATCTCTTGGCGCTATTCAGGAGGAAGCTCAGCTTGATACGATTCCTGGTGCCCAAGAACCTGATGTCGCTGGGTTGAGTTTAGATGAGCGGGACGTTGACGAGCTCATGGGCAGCCAACAGAGTGAAGTCAGTCTCAACTCCTCCGACATGAATTTTTTCGAATCCTCGCGGGTCTCAAAGCGATTGAAGACTGGCGATGACAACCATGAAGATAACGAGGAAGTTGACGAGGACAACTACTACGGCTCCAGTCCAGAATTGGTTGGCGATATCCCCATCATGCACCAAGAGCAAGTAGGAGGTCAGACGCAACCCAGAGCACCAAAGCTGTTTGGAGAAATCAGTCAGTCGGACTTGCCAACACTTCGAAGACAAGTGGGCAGGGTTGCTGAGAACTTGACAAGCTCAGCTGCCTCCCGTGGAGAAGCTGTATCAGAGCACAGCCTAGGTCAAGATGCGCAGGACGACCGGAGTCAAAGTCTGCTCGGTGCTGAATCAATGGTCCGCGAAATGGAAATCGATTCGCCTTTTACTGGAATTTCAAGCGCTTCGCAATCTCAACGTGACAGCAACAGCGTCGACTCCGCTGCGCAATCGCAAGAGGCTCAACCAGACGATCTTGAGGAGACTCCGAAATTACAGCAAGATCCGCAAACCCAGGCGCACACTTACACTCGTCGCATCAGCATACCGGATCCACCATCGTTCTACCATGACCCGGCGAATCCGAGCACGCATAATCTTCAGTATGCTTCTGAGGTTAGTAGCCATGACTACACTAAGGCTGCGAAACATGCCGCGATCAAGGACACCTCGCTAGCTACCACGCAGCCGAGGAGCAAGCCGACCAGTGATAATGACGGTGTGTCAGCAAATGACTCCATGACAAATGCAGCATATCGTGTCCAAGCGGAATCAGCAAAAGCTCCAAAGCTTCCACAGACAGCACATCTCATAAAGCATGCGAATATCTCTGGCCCGCGGCCGCGTTTCGGCAGGCTGATTTCGACGCAAGGATCAGCACCGGACTTGGTCCTGGATTTGCACACCACAGTCACGACATATGGCCGAAGTTCTCGGTGCACATACACTCATCCCGATAAGAACGATATTCGTATAGCCAAGGAGTGCCTTACAATCTTCTTCCATGCTTCGGATCTGAGCAAGGCGTCCGGACCGGAAGAAGAGCTCGATTCGATCAAGGGGTTGTATTGCGGTATCGTCACATACGGTAGTAACGGTGTGAAGATCAATGGCTTTCAGCTGGACAAAGGTGAGGTGGGCAAACAGCTATACGGCAAGATTCATACTGGAGACATCATTGAGGTCTGGCCCGGTAATGACAAGCAGGCTCCTCTGCGCTTCTATGTCGAGGTTTACCACGGTACTACCAAGAACCCGCGAAGTCCAGACGCGCCAGGCTTTGAGGTGGCCATGGAGAAGCAACGTTCGGAGAGCAGCGATAATGAAAAGCAGGGCTCTCAAGCTAAAGCAGGACTTTCAAGCTAAAGCTTGATAGAAGGAACGACGAGCGACCTACACGACTTGGGATTCAATATGCTGCTCCTGGAGGTCAGCTTTTTCTACGAATACCCAGGCAGCATGGCGTTATGAAACGGAATGACAACATCAAAACTTTAAGAGGCAACTTTGTGACAACTACAACGCATTGGGCGGGTTGATCTTGCTCTGGCTCACCTGCAGAGCCCGTTTTGTAGTACAATAGCATGAGATATATGTATAATGAAAATCGAACAAGTCAACTCAATGGGACACGATACATGCTGTCTCGTTTCATTCATCACGTCGTGGGTATCTCGTAAAAATGCTAATCTAATTTATGCACGCACCTCTTACTTCATCCCTTTTCAAACTCCCCAACTCCTCTTCGCATTGCACAGCCAAGCAGAAGCAACGGACATGCTCTCACTACGAGCACACAACATCAAAGCATCCAAACCAGAAAACGCGCGTCTCGCGAACTTCCAACCTACCTCCTTCCCCACCTGTTCTCTCTTCTGAATCTGATACGGTCCTTGTACACCATTATTCGCAACCATAATCCCATTTCCTGCATCCAGAGCCTGCATTCTCACCCATTCCTTCATCAGTCCAGGATTCCTAGCCATAGTCCTGTTCGCAGCCATAGCGTAAGCTATGATTCCCGTGACGTGAGGGGTGGCCATCGAAGTCCCACTCAAACTGTTGACCATGTTTGGAGCACCGATCCACGATGAAATCACATTGACGCCCGGAGCATAGACATCTACACAAGACCCGTAGTTCGAGAACGACGCGGGTCTGTTGGTGATGTCTACTGCTCCCACTGTGATTGCGCCGCCTTGTGAACCTCCGGTAGCTGCTGGTGAGGAGGAACACGCATCTGTATCCGAGTTTCCCGCTGCGACGCAAACGTGGATTCCGCGGGAAATTGCGGCGCTGACGGCGGCGTTTATGGCGTCGACTGGTGAGGATGATGCTAGAGACATGCTTATGACTGAGCCGGAATGGGTTTGGTCGTTGGAGCGGGCTTCGTGGTTATTGATTGCGAAATCTATTCCTGCTACGACGTTCGAGGACCATCCAGATCCATCGGAAGATAACGTCTTGACGCCGAAGATGTTGGCGTTACTGGCGACTCCGAGGATGTTGCCTGCTGCTGTGCCGGAAACGTGGGTTCCGTGGCCGTCTTGGTCGGAGAGATCGTTGTCGTAGGACCAGAGCATTTTTGCGCGGTTGGAGAAGACGTTGTGGGCTGTGTAGACGCCTGTGTCGAGGATGTAGATGTCGGAACCGGAGCCGAGGTTGGAGTCTGTGTAAGTGTAGGTGTAGTCCATTGCTGAGGGACTGCCGCTGAATTTGGTATTGGCGGTGGAGATGCGTTGAAGGCCCCAAGGAGCGTTGGGTCGGACGTCCATTGTGGTTGGAATGCTTGCATGGCTGATGGATATGGTCTTTTCGACATGAGAGATGTCTGACATGTTGGCGAGGAGGTCTAGACAGTGGGATTTCATGGATGCGGCGAAGCCTTGGAAGGCGCTGTTGTTGAAGATATGGCGGACATCGGGGTGCGATTCGTGAAGATCGAGGCGTCGGAGCACTTGGGCTACCTGTGGTGTGACTGGGGCGTTCTTGTTGACGATGACAATGTGCTCTTCGCCGCCGGACTCATGTGTAGATGCTGCAGCAGAAATGTATCCTGATGTGGGCCGTGATTGTGTGAGAGGAAGCAAGACCAGGCCGGCCAGTATCGAGCGAAGGGATAATGCCATTTTCTGCATTTCTGCCTGAGCTGTCGCTGTCGCTGTCGCAGGAAAAGCTCTGTTTGGGAAAGAAGGCTATACTGTAATACCGTGCCAGACGGTTGATCGAAGAGAATGTGATGCGTTGGAAGGAAGGTGAAGAAAGCGAACGGCACTGAGAACTGCGAGAAGAGCACAATCGAAGAAGTGGGACGAATGGTGGAAGTGCGAACGAGTGAACGATGTTCTTCACTTGCCTATTGTCTGAACGAGACACTGCCATTGTCGCGTAGCCCAAACGCGTGTGACTCTGGACACGACTGTCGGAGAAAATCGTCTTGGCCCTGAGAAATCATGTTCCATCGACTCGTCACAGGTTGTGCGTCGCCCGAAATGGAGTGTCGGACATGAAGTCGAAGGCCATTGTGAGGCGCTAGACGACGGTGCCAATGAGAGTCGTGAGCAGCCTTACGTCGCGCTTAGCCTGAAACACGATGATCAGATCAGACTAGACGGATATTCTAGGGATCGCTCCGCCCCGCGCCTCACAGGACGCTATCCGAGACAGATCGTGCCGCACGGTAGGAGGGGGAGGGGGCGGGGCGGGGCGGGGCGGGGGCGGTTCTGTGAATAAGGCCCTATATACTTCTGTAGATTATCGGCTTATTTCCTATAGATTATTAGCAATAATCTACAATCTATAGCTTCTTAAATACTATATACTTCTTAATCGTACGACTATTATAGATTATAGGTTATCGTAAAGAGATTATTAGGGATACTAATTGCGGTAGTTGTATACGAATAACCTACTAAACACCTCGAGAGGTGCTTTTAGCCCCTAAATAATAGACTTCTCGTCGTTTCTATAGTAGCTCTTCTTTCTAACTATTATTATATATCTAATATAGACTCTATCTAAGTCGCTATAGTCGTCGTTCTTATCGCCGGAGCGACCCTCGCCGCCTCGATCCCCTTCTTTTAACGAAATACGCGTAGATAGTAGTACTAGCCGTCTAGTAAGACTAAGACTCTTATAGAGCTAAATAAAGGTATAAAGGAGACCTTTCGAGTGCTATATAGTCCGGAGTAGGATTGTTATAATATAATACGTCTTAGACAGCCGGTACTATATAAGTTAATATAGGAGCTAAAGGAAGGCGGCGATTTAGATCTATATAGCGCGATTAAAGTCTTAGTCGAGGAGTAGGTAGTTATATTCTTAGACTTCGTAGCGTATAACCTATCTATAAGGCAGCTAAGAAAGGAATATTAGCACTCGTTTAGTACCTTTAAGTTAATTATTAAGCGAGTTAGCAAAGCGCTCTATAGGATAGCGGATAAATATATATCGTTACTAGAAGCAGACTCGATCTATATAAGAAGGGTTATATTAGTAGGTAGATAGGGTAGTAGTAAATTAGTGTAGTATTCGATAGAGAACTAGGAGGAGAAGGAGGAAGGCAGGCTAGTTAGCCTACGGCTAAGCGCTAAGCTCTACCTAAGGCATTAAGACCCTAGCTTTACTCGAGCCCGGTTATATACTAATTACGTATAACCTCTTTAGTCCTAATACACGCTTCCCTTCTAAAGGCCGCGCCCTCGTAGCCGGTCTTTGTTCTAGTCTTAACCTCTATTGCCGCTAACTTAGTAGGTCTAATAAGCCGCTTAGTCCGCGCTAAATTAAACGTATAACTACCGATTATGTAACTATGTTAAACCTTACCTCTAATATAGTACAATGTCTAACTCTAACTACGCTATCCCTATATATAATAAACTATAAAGTAATATATATCTATAAGAATTGAGAGCCTTCGACTAATTACAATACAAGCGCGTCTTCCCTACTATAATAGGTAGACATACGAGGTATTATAGCCCTACCTCCGCTCTAAGTAATGTCGTACCGAGTTCTTTGCGTCTACTCTTAAAAGACCTAGCAATGTCCGCTCCCGAGGGTTTGTCCGCTTCCGAGGGTTATTATTTACTATCGTAGTTTTACTAGCCTAAATTAGTTAGGTTTAGTAGCCTTTAATTGTTAATCTTATCTTATCTTTTCGGAAAAAACACAGCTCGTCTAGTTTCTATAGGTAAAGGCTATTACAAGTGTAGTAGTTAAGGTTCGCCTCGCTTAAAGGGTTAGATAGATTAAGGAGTAACCTATTGTCCGTAAGATCGACCCTAGCTAGCTTAGCTCTATAGTTTTGCCCTTAGTTAGTCTATTAGTCGCTTAATCTTCTAGGCGGCTTAAAGTTTTAATTAAAGTTTTAATTAAAGGTGCCTTAGGCTCGTAGTATAGGTAAGGTTGTGCCCGTAGGCGTAGTAATAGTAGCAAGTAATATTAATAATAGCGGTACTAGCCGTCTTAGCGCTAACTTTACCTTGCTTCTAATTTCCTTCTTTAACTAATAATAACTTAGTAATACCGTTACTAATATAGCGGTGTCCTTCCTTTCTTAAATAGTAACACACCCCGCAATACTATTACTAATATAGCCGCGCTAGCCGCGCCGTCCTTTGCTAGCTCGTAGCGCGACGCTATCGTCTTTATTACCGTTATTCGCACGCGCGCGCGCGCTCTTATCGATCGCTTAGGCCTTAGGGCCTCGATAGAATAAAAGAGTAAGAGGGGCGCTAAGAGAAGGGTCTTGCAGGGTGCGCTAGTAAAGAGGTGGATTCTATAATAGTATAGTCTTATTGTCCTTTGTTACTAACAATTGCTTGCCTCTAATTAGTTAGCTAATAGCACCCCGGGGGTAGCATTATTCCTAAGCCTTAGTAACATTACGAGCTTTTAGCCTTCTTCTTATTCTTTACGCTAGTCTAATACTCGTTTAATAACTTAGCTATATCCTTAAAGGAATCTTTAGCCTCCTACGAGTCCTATTTAAGTAAATAGCCTTGCTATCTTAATAGGTATTCCTTCTTGCCCTGCCTAGTTCGGTGCTTTAGGATACGTTCTATAGACTATAGCTCTTTACCGTCGGCTAGTATTTCTTTATGTTTAGTAGGGGCTTCTTTATTAGAATCTCCGCGGTAGTAGTATAGCTTAAGGAGGGAGATATAGAAGGTGTTATAGATAGTGTAGTATAGTAGGAGCCATAACTAATAGGCCTAGCTATTACCCTTCGGTTCTCGGATTCAAAATAGGCTAATGTATCTTAGTACAAGCTTAGGCCTTGTTTTGCTATTAGGTAATAGGTGTTTGCGGATACGGAGGTTCTTAGTGCTTAGCATAACTATATCGCCTTGCTTAAAAGTTATTAGCGTGTAGTATTTATTATAGTAGGCCTTCTAATATGCCTAGGCCTTTGCTAGTTTATTAGCTAACTTAGCGTAAATCTCTCGCATCTTTTGAACCCTCTTAATAGCCGCTAGCGTCTTAGGTATTAGTACTTAACGCGCTTCCCTTTCCTTGCGCTCGGCCTCGAGCGAGGTAAATAGGTCTTATAGTAAGGCAGCGTTCTAGCCTATTATAGCTATATATAGTAAAACCTTAGTAGATAAGTGTATACTGTTGTTGTATACGAATTCTATAGGCTATAGGAGGTTGACCTAGTCGTTAGGGTTCTCGTTAATATAACTGCGTAGGTACTGCTATAGGGTAGCATTCTGCCTTTTAGTCTAACTATCTGTTTATAAATAGAATGCTATAGACAGGCGATGCTTAAGTCTTAGCTGTAGGCAAATCTTACTCTAATAGTAAGATGTAGACCCCGTAGTAGTTCGGTTTCCGAACTACCAAACGTATATAGTTTGGTTTCTTAGCGGCGAACTAGCTCCCTAGTTCCGGTTTGGTTTTTTCGAACTATATAGATTCCTAGTTTGAACTAGAGACTGTATTAGTTTTACTATAAGGACACTCTTATTCGACTACCGGCTACGATTGCCGGCTATAATAGTTACTAGGTTGTATTTACTACGCTTTATTACCGTTGCTAGGGCGTAGTTGCCGTTGCTAGGGCGTAGTTGCCGTTGCTAGGGCGTAGTTGCTATTGCTAGGGCGTAGTTGCCGTAGTTGCGAAAGCTTACCTATATAACGTTACGTAGGCGGCAACAATTAGGGCTTCGCGATATTCTTACACTTTTAACTTCTTCCTCTATACCTATACTAACAATAACTACTATACGCTACGCCCCCGCCCCTTTCCCTTACAATAGTAAGAGAGAAGCGCGCCGCGCGCTAAACAGAAGATAGAACTAAAGACCGCGAGTTTGTTTTGCCTAAGCGTCTAACTAAAAAGCGCAAGACTAAAGAGGAGTACTCTACGAAGAAGAATTCCGTACGAGACCGCGAGAGAAAGGACAAGATAGATAAGGATAAAAGAGCTAAGGATAAGAGAAGAAAGGCGCGGAATAAGGCATTCTATCGATAGCTAGCGCCTATAGAAAAAAGTAAAGGTTAGAATAAGAAGACAACCTAAGAGAAGGCTAAGAGGAGGAAAGAATTGCGGCTAGTTTTCGAGCGTAAAGTTCTAGTAGCGTAAGTCAATCTAGCTAGCGGCCGTAGCTAGCAGCTATAGCCGGCATATTTTTCTTTAATACGTTAACTAATAGTATTTAGACCTATAGCCGCTACCTCTATCGATACGACCGATAGTAACGGAGATGTTTAGATAGCCGAGAACAACAATACTAGAGTTTAGGATGCCGCGACAGAGCTTAATACTACGAATAAAGGAACTGAAAAAAGCGAGGAGATACTATACGTCGATCTAGTAACAGGTGCAGTCTTAGGGCCTAACGCTATAGACGATAAGCGCTAGGAGTAGATCGAGTATAGTCAAAGAGACGAGATACTAGTAAAGGGCTAAGGTATAAGTCCTATTAATCTAGAAAATCATAGTTAAAGCTACTACGAAAAGCTAGTAAGGATTGGAATCGAGACTAGTCGTCTTTATATCCTCGATATAGAGTAGAAGTTTCTTTATTAGTATTAGAGCGAAGCCTTTACGTTTATAAAGGCAAAGTAGCTTGCGATTAATGCGATCGGGGCTAGGTATCTAGGGACGGTAGAAGTGTTACTATAGGAGGAA